CGTCAGCAGCACGTACTTGAATAGATCCATTTTATATCTGAAGACTCGTTGGCTTGCATTTTTCGCATGTCTTGCTTTCTATATCGTTCGCGTGTATTTGTTAGCTGGATTTTTTGTAGTGAGCTACGGACTGGGCATATATCTGTTGAATCTCCTCATTGGCTTCATCTCGCCGCAGGTGGACCCGGAGACAGACGAATATGTTCTACCTGTCCGTGGAGGTGGTGGCGCGCAGGGTGATGCAGGGGAATTTCGCCCCTTCTTGCGCCAAGTCCCTGAGTTCAAAGCGTGGGTTTCGGGGATGCGAGCTTTGCTTATCGCTATCGGCATGACATTTTTCCAAGTCTTCGACTTGCCTGTCTTCTGGCCGATCCTGCTGATCTACTTCATACTCCTCTTTATTCTTACTATGAAGCAGCAAGTAAAGAGAATGATAAAATACAAGTACCTTCCTTTCTCGTGGGGCAAGCAAACCTACGGCGACATCACCCGCGGCGGCAACAGCGGCGGGCAGAACTACAGCCCTACCAAAGCATCTGCCACCTCTACAGCGACGGCCCCTTCCTACGTGTCTCATGAACACTTCGCAGCGACATACGTCCTTCGATGATTACAACATGGTGTCATGAACACTATTGTAAAGCGTAGAGGCTCTGCGACAAAATTACGTATCCCTTTGTGCATACAGCCGCTAGGGGAGTGTACGCAGATTAAAAGATGACCTTTTAGAGGCGTCCTTTGCAAGCAGACGCCTTGGTTCCTTTCATGCAGCATGCACCGCAGCGCCGCCGTCTGCCTCTCAGAGCGGCTGTCTTGCTAGGAGCGGACAAGGAAACGGGTGGATCATATGTTGCTTCTCTACTGAGGCCATGTGCATGAAGACCTTGTTTGGCGGGAGGGCGGCACGCAAGAGAAGCTAGCCCTCAGTCACACTACTCTGTCGCATCTGACAGACCTCAACAAACAAACTTTACCGATCACGGAGACTGCTGACAGCCAAAGAGTGTCCTCCAGGCAGCTCGTAGCCGTCACGTAGCTGCCTCGTCAACACTCATGCTGAAGTTGTGTCCAACGCCTTCTTGTCCTTAAAACTGAGGCCTTTGTTGAACACAACTACAAAACCGATACAGAAGGGAGAGTGTAACTAAACACAGTGGAAGTGTGTTGGGGACGGGCCTAGTCAGATGATACATGCGCACGATGGGGGCGAGAGAGTGCACGTACGAGCCTGCATATTAATTGTTGGGAACTGCTGTACTAAAGCATGCGTTTCCTCTGAATCACACATAGAAGTTCTGCGTACTAAACAGCTTGAAAGCAGCCACAAAAGACGCTGGCAGCCTGCTGGTCCACCTGCGCCCCAAGTGACTGCGCCGTCAGAACTCCGCGGGAACTGCTTAACCGTCTTTTCGAACCATGTTCCCTTAAGAGGTAGCCATCTTCGGACAGCTACAACACTTAGAAGCATCATTGGAGTCTACTGTTGAGTCCGAGGATACGGAAGTGCATCTGGTTGCCGTCATTGCTTCAAGCGTAAACTCGGTGGGGACCTGCCGGCAGCAGTGAACGGGAGCTCGCACTGAGCACGTGAGTATGCTGCAGATCTTTACCATGGGCGAAAGCACGCTGCAACCTCTACAGTTAAACAAGGTATGCCGCAAGGGGTGCCCTTTTGCAGTAGCTAACCTGGGGACTTTGCTAACCTGTTTGCGAGAGATTAAAAGAAGTAGGAACAGTCCCGACGCACCTTACGCGCTGTCTCAAAAACCGTGAGGAAACTTCGACTAATTGCTTGCACGCGTGACTCGAAAAACGAAAGAATAGATAGCACTCGGAGCACTTCAGAAATCTGTGAACAACACGAGGGGAACCGGTGTCCCCCATCAGCTATGATACAGCTGCTGGCAACCTAGCTGATACTATTGCGACTCTTCTTGAGTCCAAATAAACATTTTTGCTCCAGTTAGCAACAGGAGTCGTACAAGCTAGGTAAGCTGAGCCAGCGAAGTGCATGGGGCCACACATAAGCCCAGGAGCATGTGGACGTTGAAGTGCTCCTACATACATCGTAACGTCTGAACTTCTTTCGCAAAGAGTGTGATGCCGTTTTGGTAGGGAACTACAAGATGTCAGGCAGATGCCTCGGAAAACTGGCCCAATTAGGTAGGCGTCCAAATATAACACTGTGCTTGTAGAGACTCCTAGAAGAAATGGTCCACTAGAGGGAAAGCCAGACACGGCTGTGAGGAGGCCGGCCAAGGAACATTTAGTTTCCAGAACGCCGAGTTGGAAATGCGGACTTGGTCTAGAGCAGAGTACACCGTGCAGTCTTCGTTTTCCAAGGCTCAACACGGCGAAGATACGGTTTTCCGACTTTGTCGAGCTTAGCAATTCCCCAGGATAACGAGCACTGCAAGAAACCACGGTGCTGAAGTTGCGACCCCATGAAGTATTTCGACAGTTGCAGCGTATTTAGCGCATGAGCTTCTACATGCTGAGGCTTACTGATTAAATCAAGAGCTCTGTCGATTTTGCTTGGCTTTTGCATATGCACTCTCTATGCATCATGTTACTGTCTTACTGTGAGACACAGTACTGCTCAGAACAGCATGCGGCCCCAATAGAAAGGCTCCAAGCACTGCAAGAGCCTACGGTGTCAAGGATACGACCTCATGGAGTATTTCGGCAGCTGCAGCATATCGACCTGACAATGTGTGCCACTCCTGCACTTCTGAGAGTCCTTCTTCAAAAAACTAGAAATGCCCGTATATGCTACCAATAACAATTTAGGCCCACAAAGACAGGGAAAATGACGCTGGACATGCGTGGAGAAAAAGCCACTCGCCGGTATTGTCCCAGACAGCACGACCTGCATTGTAGGGTATGCCGAGCCTGTACAAACTACACTCGGGATATGCCAGACTTGTACGACTTAAATTCGGGACATTCCAGGCGTCTTGAAGACAACTTGTCTCGTTTTCCTTACAGTGTCATAGCTGCTGCCGTGCGGACATTTACAAGTGTACTGTGAACTGGAGTAGCCCGCATCGCTCGTAAAGTCGCGGTAAGTCTTCAGTGCGCTCTTAAAGTCGCGCACTAAAAACCTACCTATAAAGTCACACGTCTTGGCACCATATTGTAAGCTCTTTGAACTCACCTAATGGGAAGCCCTTCAAAATTTGGCAAGCGTGATGCGTCTCCAGTAAGCTTTGCTACGCATGGCGTTAATGAGTGCATTCCCGTGGACTCATGGATCCAGAGTAAGCGTACAACGAAGACTCTCTCCTGCACAAATATGATCCCACTTCCTAGTACCCCCGATCTGCTGCCGCTGCACAGGATGGGCTGCCGAAGGTGAAAAAACGCAATTGTCGGGAACGTCCCCCTTGCCGCTGCGGCAATGAGCTAGTAGCAAGCAACCAGCCTCATTGACTGGCGATCACATCGACGTCAAGATGGCGGGGCCATAGTTCAATATTCGCCGTTGCTTCCCTCCCATTTACAACCCTCTTACCTACTGAACGTGACGTTCCATAGCTGTTTTGCTCTCTCATGTGTACTGCTTTTCCCACTAACAACCCCCGCTCTGCTATCTACGGCGAAATCGGAAATGTGCTTCACAGTTTTCAACTCGCCCTACGGCAAGGCTTTCATCTCACAATATACCCAGCATCTGCCTCCCTGGACTTCACAGAAGGGAAGATTTTACACCCAAAAACGCATTCACAAGTGTGCGTCGGCTTGTAGAGCAACGCGAGGCGTTTCGCGCTGCGTCTGTTCTACGACATGCCACAACGCAGCAGCAGCACGACAAAGATCTGTTCTAGCTGCTGCCGCTGTTGCATCTTGTTATCGGGGGGCGTCGCTAAACGGGCAGAGGAAGACTGGCCACTGCTGCACGCGATTCCCCCAATACTTTAATGCTTATGCGCATTCCATGAACGGTGGCGAAATGCACGCACCGAATTGCATGAGGGCCAGCTGGGGCACTTTTACAAGCCGCATGCTTCACTAGGCAGCTGGTTGCATTCCCATCATGCACTGTCCCTTCTCAGGACTCCTGCTGGCATATGTAGAGCACCAAACTGGAAGAGACCCAAATGCGATAATGCATAACACAAAACTCAAGGACGATTTTGCTCAACGACAATAAAAGCAGTGGCAACTGTGGTCGGGTGATTTGGGATCACCTCTTATACAAGAACTGCAGCCTCTAGATCATACCTTGAACTTCTACAGCCACTATTTCGTCAATAATTAATTTAGCTATGATTCTGCGAATAATAAGCGTTTAGTCACAGCTGTGGTTCACTGCAGCCCGCATGCAACGGGCACGACCGACCCAGCTGCGGCTGGGCCCCTGTATCCATGTACCATGCAGCAAGTACTACTTTCCCTGCCAACAGATCTGAGAACAAGACTCTTAAGGAAAAGAGGAAAGTATGACAGGAGTGGCGGAAACACCATCGTCAACATCAAACGATAGTACCACGCATGCTCAGCTTGTCCACGCCACACGGCCAGCCTTCTACTGGTCACCGCATGAAGCCACTCTGTAGATACAGACCGAGAGAGGAGGATTACACTTTCTATTAAGCACTATTGCCATCCTTGTCTGCATCACATTCAACCCTCTGGTGCAGCAGGCGTTACTAATCAGTTCCTCACTGTCTTTCAATTTAGAGGGGGTCTCGTGCAGTTGCTGCTGTTTGTGCGTTTTCCACCTGAGGGATCCTTCGGTGAACAGGTTAAGGCGCTTTCCGCTGCGGTCTTCCCCCAGAATGGCTCCTGCAGTTGCGAGCAGTTGCAAGCGTTGAAGCAGCACTGGCGCGTCAGAAGAAGCAGACAATGCACTTAAAAATGACCGCGAGAACCTCCAGTCTTGCTGTGCTGTAGCGGCAGCAGCACGGCAGCAGCAGTTGCTGCAGCCGTGCGCGTTAGAAGCGGGCAGGCTCCTGTAGCCTTCAAGAGACAAGGACAGCGCGCACAGCGGTGTCACCATGCCAGTTTCAGGTACTGGCTTCTCGTTGGGGTCTGCTCCGGCAGACGGTGGGGCGAATGCGGGAGCAGACCCCCAGCGTGGGGCTCCTTGTGGTCTTGGGGTATCCCTTGCAAGGCACGTAAAGCGGAAGCTCGCGGGTCTTCTAGATGGCTGGCGCCGCGCAAAGAGTTTTCGACTGTTTCTCGAACCGGTTGATGTCGAGCAGATGGAGTGTCCTACATACTACGATATCATAAAATATCCAATGGACCTGCGCACTATGGAGGTATCGGCTGGCTACAAATCGTGAACAACAAGTTCAACAACTAGCCGACACTACCATATTTGGCCTTATTTGATTCTCTACATCTATGATTTTGACGCTGCAGGTTTTATGTGTGCGCGTTGGTTTGTCGGGTATGCAGGCAAAACTTGAGAGAGACGAATACAGAAGCGAGGAGGCTTTCATCTCTGACCTGCTGCTAATCTTCCGCAACTGCCGCACGTCAGCTAGTGCTACTTACGGCAGTCCTAAGTGTAGCTGAAGCTGCATATCTGCTTTCGGTTGCAGGGAGAGCTGCCGAAACTTTGGGAATTCCAAGATCCCTAGGGCTTTAATATAACACAGGGTTCTGAAGAGACCAGGCCCTTGACAAGCCTAGTGGTTTCGGTGCAATCTGTGTATGTGCAGATTCAACGATGGGTCAACACCAGCTGGGCAGTTTGTACTGCGTTTGTGCGCTGAGGCGGAGACACGGAGCCTTGAGGACCTCAAGAAGGCGTACAAGGATTCGAAGGTAGTCGCCCACTGGGAGTGATGCTGGAGCCTTGCTTCTGCTGTCTGTGCCAGCTGCACTATTCCTACTGTTAAATCGAATGGCGCTGCTGTATCTGGGTTTCCACTTAGACTCCTGCTGCTACTGCAATGGCTCTAGTCTTGGGGAGGGCTGTGAGCCGTTTTAAAACCTGGAATTATATTAACCGTGATACTGCACTTTTTGTTGCTGCTGGAACATGCCTGCGCAGCTGTGGGCGGCACTTGAGCAGCAGTTTTCGCACGGAAAGCAGAAGGCGGGGCCTCGGAACAAAAGTGGGGGATCATCGAAGCGCGCTGCTTCTGGGATATCGTCGGTACCCGATGTTTCGCTACCAGCAACGGGAGTTCTTGCCGCTGCAGCGGCGGCTCCGAATTGCTCAGGTGCTGCTGACTTCCAACACCAGCAGCTGAGCTCTGAGGGAGCGGGTGGCGACGTTGCGGGGGCTTCTCCAGCGGTTCCGTATGTAGGTGGACTCGCGTACATGAGAAATTCGACTGCACCGCAGGACGGTACTTCAGCTGCAGAGGGCACTTTGTCAAAAGGGGTCGAGGGATTCTGTGTTGCTCCTGAGAAGGCTTCAGAGGCCCCAGCTGCTTCTGTTCTTTCGGGTATCTCTCCTTCCAGAGAGCTGCTTACCCCTGCAGCGTCAGGGGCTCACATTGGTGCTGCGCATGCGTGGCCCGGAGATGTGGGGGGTCTGACAGGGCAAGGTGCGTTCTTAGCGTGCTATTTCGGCGGACTTTGGCTTTGGCGGTAGTCTGGGAAGACATTGTGGACCAGCGACTTAATAAGCATGCTCACTCTTCGCGAACTATTTATCCTGGTGCGGTTGCGCTTGCGTCCTTTATTCCTTTTTCTACTGCTGGTACTGCTGTGGTTGCACCTGAACCTGCAGGGACTATAGATGCGGACAACTCTTCGACGGGGAAAAGCTGGTACATCTACTGCAGAGACAATGTACGCTTTCTACCCCGCATCCGTGCAAGATTCTGGACTTCATTTGAGCATTTTGTTGTGCAGAGGCTTTTTATTGCTTGAAGGTCCAAGCGGCTCTAGAAGCATTAATACCTAGCGTGTCGTACTCCCGTTCTAATATCCCGCTCACGACGAACATCAGGCTGAACAGGCATAGCTGTTTTCCGTTTCCGTTTGTGCCTCTGTCCGCGTTGTTAGCCCTGGTTTCTTTATCTTTCCTTGCAGTGTGTCCACGTTTGCCAGCCGGCGCGTGGCATCTTTCTGTACTTCCTTTCATCTGGATACCTGCCCGTGCCAACTTGTATAGCCCTTCCTGTCGCCTTTGCTGTTGTTGCTAACGCATGCGTTGCTGCTTATGTTTGTTCGCGGTGTCTACATAAGTGCCTCTGCTGCTGCTGCTGCCGTGGGGTTACTTTGCAGATCCTGAGGCCCCTAAAGGGAGATCGTTACGCTTATCTCTTCCTCACTCCAGTTTTGGACAGCCCCGAGCTTCCTGACGCGGTCAAGACCTCGTATAAATCTGTCATTGCTAGGCCAATGGACTACGGCACCATCTGGGTATGCCACAGTTGCCGCGGCAACAGCAGATAGGTAGCAGCCCACAGGAAGCTTCCGCAGCAGCATGGAGATGGGAAAACGAAGCTTTTTGAAACACCAGAGATCTGGTGCAAATAAGTTTTGTCGTTCCCGTTGTCTTAAGATGGCTTTTCTTCCCACCACTGTACACTTCCCCCACCACTGTACACTTTGCAGACCAAACTGACTACCCGAGACTATCGCCATCCGGTGGAATTTTTTGAAGACATGTTCCTGGTACGCAGCAACAGCTTCAGTAGCATTAGCAAACGTAGCAGTTGCGGCGGAGAATACATATGGAGGGAAATGAAGAGCATGGTCGTCTGTAGGGGCCCTGAACAGTAGGGCAGACAAACGGTTCTCTTCTTGGCAGCCTCCACGACACTCTCGTTGCATTCTTCACATCACTTGCATTCGTCACATCACACTTGCCCCCAGTCCTCAGGTGTCGACGTTTTTGCGGTTGCTTTTATAACTGCAACAGGTGTACTCAAATTGCATGGCCTTCAATCCCCCGAACGACCAGCAGTGTGGTTGGTTGCATCGTGTGGCGGAGAAGAGCCGGGATAAGTTCATGGAGAGGTGAACCCTAGTTCAGCAATTCTTCGTTGCTTTTTTGCTGACGCTACGCATCATGCGTATGTGGCTCAGACGATTTCGGTGCTGCACGCTTTTTACTCAGATGGCGCCGATGGGTCGTCCGTATTTGGCGCGCCTTTGCTCAGCACAACGCAGCAGGGGCAGCAGCGGCGCCGCCTGTGCTACAGCATGCAGAGGCAGCAGCAGCCGCAGCAGCAGTAGAAGCAGAGCCATCCATCGCTGCAGCATTGTCAGCTGCCAGGGCTGAACTTCTGGAGAGGCGAAACCACCAATCAACAGCACTCTCTCCACCAAATCCACAAGAACTGCAACATCCTAACCTGCATCACCCACAACTGCAACACCACAAGATGCAACACCAGCAACGAGGCTCGGATGAGCCACATGACGCTGCAGCAATGGCAGCAAATGCAGCCACCGCCGCGAAGGATCCGAAGTACAGGCATGTGCACTTCCAGACATACTGCTTGATGATGCAGTTGTTGCAGGTGCCACTATTGGCGGTGTAGCATTTGGTGCTGTTGACGTCTCTGTAATGGAGTACTCGCTGCTATGTACGCTTGCAGAGCACTTGTCGTTGACCTTCTGGGTGAGGATGCGCTAGAAGATGCAAGCAATAGCTCTGTGGACAGGGGAGCAACTCAAGAAACACTGCAGCAACAGCTGCAACAGCTGCAACAGCAGCAGCAGCTTCTGCAGCACGAGCATTTGCAGCTGCAGCAGCAGCAACGCGAGATGCAGGAAAAAGAGCAGACGATGACGCGCGCATCTGGAGCAGGAGATGGGTCTCTTCACTCTGACGGCCCTGGCAGTGTTGGGCTCAGTGGCTCCACCAACTTGCACCAGCAGCAGGCAAATGATATGACGGGGGTTGTTCCTGAAACTTCTGTTTATCATGCGGCTGGTGATGTTGCTTTTCGGGGAGAGCTCGCAATCCAGCACAGTCACGTGAAGCAACTGGGTGGAGACGCAGGCCTGCCCACAGCAGACGCTGCAGCCGCAGCCACAGACAGCAAAAAACACAAGAGTAAGAAGCACAAGCATCAAAAATATTCACACCGAGGCAACCCTCAGCTGCAACAGCAGCAGAAGATTGCGGAGCTGCAGCATGAAGTTTCTGACGCCTACCAGTTTCCTGGCTCCGCTGAGCTGACAGCCATTCAGTCGGCTGATCCTCCCGCTATTCAGGCGAAGCTCACGACGGTAGCAGTGGTGGGAGAAACCGCGGCAGGCGCAAGCTCTGCGACAACTCTAGGTGGGACTCGAGGCATAGATGCTTCGTCGGTCGCGCTGAACAGTGCTGAGACCCCGCCTGGGCCGTCGGTAGCATCCGCTATTTCAGTAAATGCTTCCTCCCTGTATTCCGAAATTACAGCCCAACAAATAGCAGAAGCTGCACCAGCGGGAGATAATGCAGCGGTTTCAACAGGGGATACTGCGGGTGGCTCTCTTCTGCCCGTCCGCTCACTGGGAGACTCGCCTAGACTTTCTGACATCATTGAAGCCCCACCAGCAGAGATTTTAGAGGCAATGGGCATGAAGGATATGTCAGCTGCTCCGCCTTGTGCCGCTGCTGCTGCCCCTGCTCCTGTTTCTGCTCCTCCTGCGATTTCTGTTGCTGCTCCTTTGGCTGCTGATGATGTAACCCATGGGGCGCTTCCTCCGTCGGCCGCTCCTGCTGCTCCTGTGCCTCTGGGGCCTTGGCTGACAGGAATGGTAGTGCCGCAGTTGCCAACTAATTCAGACGGCGCTACAGTCGCAGCAGGAACAATAGCATGTGCAGGAGGTGCTGCGGGTGTGAGTCCCCTGCTACTGCCGCCGCCACTGGAAGGGGTGGTAAGCATGCACGACATGCAAAACGGAGCAGCTTTGCACCATCTTGAGCAGCAACAACAGCAACGAACCCGGGACGATTTGCTTCCAGCAAAGCTTCGCATAGTAGTAGAATCAACACGCAAGAAGGTTCCTCCTCCCAAGCTCCTCTTGCTACCCTGGAGGGGCAGGGGCCAGGGGCCAGTACCTCAGGGATATACGGTGAGTTGTGCTCCGTAAGACGCTTCCCACCTCTAAGTTAGGTGCAGAAGCACCAGCAAAACTGCAAGTACTTGCAGCTTCTGTCTACACCGCCGCTGTACTTCTCGCTCTCCACTGTGTCTCCTGCGCTGCTGACCTGCTCGCAGCATCGGCCGTCTAACTCCTACTCAGGTCTCTCAAGCGCCGCTGTTGCCACAGTACCGGCTGTGTCTACAGCAGCAGGGCCGACACGGGCGACAGATTCATCGGCTGCCAGCGTCAAGAGAGAAGCAACGCAAGGGGAATCTGCATCGACCGATACAAAAGTTGTATCAGCAGGAGCAGAGTTGTCTTGGCCAGCGGCGGCTATTTTCTGCGATACAGGCAGCATTAGCATGAAGCGGCGCCCGAAGCTGACACTGCGGCTCAGCAACTGTAGCAGAACTAGCAGGAAACGGCAAGCATTGGGGAGCAATGGTATTCTAGCCAAGGCTTTTTTCATGGAAGAAGGTGGCCAAAAGCCAGCGGAGACCCTTGAAGACGCTTCACCGGACAGCTTGGGAAAAGGTACAGCAACAGGCACAGCAATGTTCGTCACTGCAGGACATACGGGCGAGGAAGAAACGTCCGTGTGTAAGATCGCAGGAACACAGGCAGAGGCGACCCTTGCTGTAGCAGAATCAGCAGCAGCAGCAGCAGCAGCGGCTCAGGACAGCGCCGCATGCGTGTTGCAATTGATGTGTCGCGTGGGGCAGCTGCCTGAATGGCTGGAGGTGCACGAAGTCCTTACCGGGTAGGGCTTGGCTCCAGGTCTCCTATTGTCGCCCCTGGCGATGGAGCTTCACAACAGCTATTGCGTCGAAGCCTAGGGCTGTATGCTGCCTGGTGCAGGGACGGGCTTCTCACAGTTTGTCCTGTTTTGCTCAGACTGCAGGATTGTGGCTTCGCACGCCATACTCTAACCCGGTGCTGCAGAAACTGGGCTGCTGGCGAGAACAGGAGTAACAATAGCAGGACCCACAGCTACTCGAAGACTGAGTTGTGGCTGCAGCAACAAACTGTCCGTATCCAGCCCATGGGACCCTTGACAGAAATTTTAGGAGATGCCGCAGGCCGCAGTTGCCCTGTCTCCGTATCGGTGCTCCGTTTTGTCACACTCAGCAACTCTGCTGCTGCTGCCGTTATTCCCATACTGCTGCACCTGAGGCTTCATGAAGCAGATGCAGCAGCTGCAGTCCTAGCAACAAAGGGAGAATATCTTGTTGCACCATGCATCCAGCTAGCAGCAGCAGCGGCAGTAGCAGCAGGAGGTACAGGGGACCTGACAACACTTTCACCCACCCTTGGTACCGCTGCTTCGAATGATAGCGCGGAGTCAAATTCGCGTTGCTGCTGCTCTGACATTGACGGTTGGCAACAGAAAAGAGGGTCTTTGATTAGTGGACGCCGTCTTTTTAGCTTGGAGCGCCAGATCATCAGGTGCGCATTGGCGTTACTGTCTCTTCACTACGAGAAGACGTGTGCTGGAGCAGCGGGTGCCGCTTTTCCGTCTGCGTTGAGCCGAACACGCTTGCAAGTAGTTGTGTGGCACAGAATTTCTGTTTGCAGTGGATTTGGAGGCTCTGCTAAACTGATGACTGGCGCTGTTGCTGCGGCGGTTGTATGTCAGGAGCCTTCCAAGGCGCCTTATGGAGGAGCTGCAGCAGGAGAGGCAAAAGCATGAGTTACAGACAAGGCTTCTCTCTGGTGAACGATGGAGGCCGGGACTCAGGAGTTCCCTCGCACATGCGCTGGGGACAAGAGTTGTGGAGCTGTTGCTGCGAGCGGCTGTATCAGCGGATATACAGGCTAATTTCAACCACAGCGTCAGCAACGGCACTCACAAGAGCGGCAGAAATGAATGCCTGTCTGAAGAGCTCAAGTTCATTGAAGTACGCTACTGCTTTGGCTTCAGTCACCACGTCAGCACGTGCTCTCGACGCGAATCACGTGCTCTTGACGCGAATTCATTTGCAGAGGGGGTTGCTGCTGCAGCTGCACAAGCACACTGCTGCTGCCAACAGGCCCTGAGCTCAAAGCTCCATGTACCCATGGAATTTGTTGCTCCGGCTGCGTCTTCTGCTGCAGGACCTTAATCTGTGGGTAGCGGCCCTGCCCACTGAGCTGTTGATTCCTCTGCAGCAGCAGCATCATCAGCGGCAGCGCATGCTGCGGCTTCCTGCTTTCGATGTTCTTTTCTTACACGCGGAGCCTTTGGGTCTCGTTACTCTTTCGAGGCCCCTTGCCACTGGCAGCTGCAGGGCTTCTCGAATGGAAAGGGACGCCACTGCTGCTAGTGATTCTGTGAATAAGGTTGATGTTGGACACTGCCACAGCACAGACGGGTCTCACCCAGGGTTGAATCCCAGTGGGGGCATACGGCGTCTTAAAGTACAAGCGCACCAGAAAACAGCATGTTGGGACTTGCATGTCGACAAAACGTGTAGAAATCACGACAGTGACTGCTGTTGGTGCTGTTGCTTAATGAAGGATGCTGCAGTGCAGCGCAATGCTACGCCATTGCAAGTGGCGCTATGCTTAGGGTGAGCCTTCCCCACAGCTTACACACACAGTTCATTCTTCATGTGCTTAGCCCTGCTAGTTGGATCAGCAGTGTCTAGACGTGGGAGGGAAACATGTGCATGGCTTGTTGGGCACTTTGACAGACGAACTGCTGCCAGTTTGCTATTTGGTATATATTTTCGTTAAGTACGAATGCGCCCCTGTGGTTTAGGGGTGCACACTTGACTAAATTCCGCGTTGCTACATACTAATTTATGCGTAACCAAGGCATTACCAGGTTTTCGCAGGTTGATGCCCCGAGGAAACGTAGCGTTGCTGACTTAAGGCCTGCCGCCAGTAGGGACTAGGTTGCTACATCACATGACTACTACAGCGTGACTGAGAAATGTATCAAGAGCATAAATAGTAATTGGAAAAAACGTCATAAAATGCATGGGTCAAAGGCCGCTTAATTCGCCTACCAATCATAGGTTTGTTGGAGACAGCAGCGGTCCCTTGGAAAGACCACTAAGGGGTCCGTTTTGGGGCTGCGTTGTGGGCTAGTGCTGACCGCACAATGTCCTTCATTAATCTGTGCATAGGAAAGTGTGCCACAAAGGCAGCAGAGCACTTATTGCGAAAACCTGGAAGCGTTTAATGTTGAGTCAGGGACGTTTTCGCCAATATCGGGGCACGAACACTGCCGGAGCAGCTGCGGGGCATATTTCTCCACTAGAGCGTGCATGACAGAAGTGACAGGTGTCATAGCTGCTGCCACACGAAGAAGCTGGTAACGTGAGAACCGTGCCCAATATAACAGGAACACGGTCTACGTAGAGGACTTCAAGAAGGCGGTACTGTCGTGCGCTGGACCTGCCCAAACGATATAAGCGCGAACACGGACTGGAGGAATAAAGTATGGGACGCTCCAACCATTCTCCGCTACTAGGCGTGCAGTCCTTACTGAACAGCTTGCAGCTAATCGGTGGCAAGTGTTCCCCCACGGGTGACTGCAGAGACCGTTGCGAGAGGGAGAGATATGCATGCACCGAAACTTGTGGGGCACAACTTACCTGAACTGCCACTCCAGCTGTGCAGGGCCATAATGACAAAACAAGCCATAAAAATCACGGATCAGCAAGACTTGGCAGCATTGCAATGCTCATCGGAAGCCGCTGAGGAAGAGCGCCGGAGTTGACGGAGCAAGTTTGAGCTTTGGCTTGGTGGAGAACCTGAGGCGGTCAGCCCACTTCAGACAAACAAAGGTGACGGAGTACACCGCCCACCTATCGGCAACGCAGAAGGCATGGTGTGAGGCAGCCGGCACTTCGGAAAAGACTGTCTCTCACAGAAACTGAAAGCTCGCAAGTCGAACGGAACGTGCAAGAGCGCGGTCGTGAGAGCCACTGCGCTAGGGATTATGCCACTCCAATAGGGCCAAGGCAAACGTACAACGAAGGGCCCAGGGCCACTAATACGTTCGAATAGAGGGAACAGCAACGGTAGCAGCTAGACAGCAAAGCACAAACGTTGCGGGAGAGGAAGCGCTCAGGACGGCGACAAGGTAGAGAGCCGCTGTGTGCCGTCGCTACACGGCTGAATGCTATCAAACTCTTCTCCAGCTCGAAGCAGAGGCTCCTGCAGCAAACATGAGGGAATGCCATATGTGTACGGGCTACACACGTGCCCAGGACGTCTGTTGAAAGGGGGAAAATGAGCTTACTGGGTGAGGCTGCTGCTGGCGCTACTGTTAGCACGCAGAGCAAAAAAAGATGGGAAGGCGGGACGGCCGTATGAAGCTCCCTACAGTGTTGAACCGGAAGCCACGCCGCGTTGGTGGTTCGAGCTACTGCTCACGGACTCTTCACTGCATGCCGGCTGCTGGTTTCTGTGGAGGGCTAAGCAACCAGCAAATATATGTCTCTCAGATGCTTGGATACGAATGTAAAGCGCTTCTGGAGACTGCTGCGCCCTGAATTTTCGTAAACCCGCTTACAGTTTAGCGGCTGAGACTTTGAATATGTCCTCTAGAGAAGGGCCGCTGCTTCAGCGTCGCCAGTGGGAAGAAACAATATATCGGCCGACCGGTGATGCGGCTGTTCATGTAATAGGAAAGAGAATGTTGGTTTGGAAGCTTTGTAGTGAGACCTACACCTTATGATGTTGTCATAGGACTAGGCGGGGTAAGGAAGCAGAATGCTGCCAGACACTCTCAGTTCGCTATGTTACGAAGCTCCAGAAGAAACCCGTGGTGCGATATACCAATAAAAAGAAACAGAGGTGCAAAGAAGCAGGACGGATATCGGCAACAAGCGCTGGTGCGGACCGCAGATGAGCAAGTCCTTGAGATGGTGAGCTAACAGGCGCCTAACATGACTGGGACAAAGCAGGACCAACTCTCCCCAACTTTAAACGCTACGGCGCACCGTGCAATGCAGGGAGTCAAATGGCTTTACCAAGTGTAGGTAATCTGTCCATCGTTTGCTTACGAGGAGAGAGTCAAAGGCAGCTTTTATTTGCCTTAGCGGAGTAGTGGAGTATTGGACTCGAGGCCGTGCACACCAGCTCTTCATCCCCTATGGGCCTCCCCACGTGGAGAGACCGACGAGAAAGAGTCACTTAGCGCATTGCTGCGCTTGAAAACACGCAGTTTGGAGATTCCTAGAGGTTAGACGAACCGCAGAAGGTACCCTTGCAGACACTTGGTGTGCTCAGAGAACAGCAAGTATTGGTCCTAAACAATTTACCAGCAGGGCTGCCACTGAAGCACCCACATCACCATCCGATCCTACTGGTGTCAAACGAACTCCCGACCAACGCACTCATCATTGCCACTTGCCGGTTATGAGTGCTTCTACTACGGCATCTGTGGAGTCCTGAGTTCACTTCGCGCCTCTAAGTCACTCACTCAGAAGGTTATTGGACTCCTCCAGCCGTTGGTCATTCCGTCTGGCCGTTGAAGCCATGCCAGTAGACACCTAAAAAACTCAATTACGGTGCTCACGAATGCTCGACACAAAACGGCTCAATTGATTTTCACGAGGAAGACGGCAGCAGTAGCTGACGTTTGGCGAGGACGCATGCGGCACCGCCTTCCTCGTAGTAGGGCAGGGCTGTTCGGTAGATTCCAGTGAGCTAAGCTCAGCGCGGCTCGTAAATCTCTCTCCGACTGTCGCTGTAGTCGTGTTGCTACGATTCAGCATTGTCATTGTGAATATGTGTGTCTGCAAGCTTGCCCACCACGCAGCCTCCCAGAAGTCCTAGCAATTTTAGTATCTCCATATGATATGAACGTGCATAAGCAAGGATTACCCGAGCGCTCTCTGCACTCAGTCACAAGTTTGCCAGCCTCAATGCTGCTCTCTTGCAGCAGAACCACCACTTTCTGGAGCTTGTTTAGGCGAGACACACTTTCTTTTGTCCTACAAGCTAACTTCCTGCCGTGGGTTAGGCGTTTTAGTGTCTTTTGCCGAGGGCTGGGGCCAGCATCCGGTGCGTCGCCTCTCATGACTGAAGTTTCCATGATTCAGTGGGTTCGTGGAATTCTAGTGACAAGACGTGCAGTTCACGTTCACATTGCTGTTCACACTTACGTATACTGCAGCTCCACACGAATTCTCAAAGCACTAGATCAAGAAGTAAATCTGTTGCATATTGCGCAAACTTTGTTCATTGCGGCCACACACGCTCCATTCTTGACATAATTTATACTACATTCTCACACTAAGCGTGAGCACTTGAGTAGGTCGCCTCCGGTGACTGACAAGGTGCTTTGAAGCCTTTTTTTAAAAGTAAAAAGAGGCTCCTTATAAGTAAAAAGAAGCATCGAAGCGCCAACCATGTCACTCACCCAAGGTGACTCACTCAAGTGCCCACGAGCATGGATAATAGAGGTGAACATTGACAGCGGTTGCAACGGCATTAATAGCACTCCGCCAATTTTGGCGCTTATTATTGCTCAATGCCCAATAACTACTGGGAAGTAGTTACACGCAGATGCTCTGTCTGGGTTGCTGAGGCTGTAGCAACAATTTCAAACTTTTGGCTGCAGCTCAGTACTGTAACTGTGTTATCGAAATATAAGTTTTGAATTGGCCGCAGAGACGGTGAAAGCAGGGGCGGAAAGAAGCTTCTGAACAGGCGTGGGAGAACTGTATCATCGGCAGCAGACCTAGCAGTGGTAGCGTGTGGGGGTT